AAATAGCCCAAAGGAATACAAGGGCAAAAGACTCAAATAGACAAGTCGTCAAGAAGAAACGCAACCCTGCCTGGTGTGGCTCAGAGGTTGAGCATCAACCCAGGAACCAAGAAGTCTCTGGTTCGATTCCTGGTTGGGGCACCTGCCAAGGGCTGGGGCTCAGCGCCCAGTGGGGAGTGTGCAGGAGGCTGCCCATGAATTATGTTTCTCTCTCATCAATGCTTCTATCTCTCGATCCCTCTCCCTTTTTCGCCCTCTAAAAAAAAATCAATAAAAACATTTAAAAAAGAAAACGAAGAAACTCATAGGCCAACAAACATATGATCAGATACTTAGCCTATTAATAATCAGAGAAATGCAATTAGAATTGCACTGAGATATAATTCCTCATTGACTGAAGCTTAAAAAGTCTAATAATTACAGGACATACATGGCTCTTGGGAGTACAAACTGGTTAGGCCACCTTGGAAAACAGTTTTATTTTTGTTTTTTTAAATATATTTTATTGATTTTTTTTTTTTTACAGAGAGGAAGGTAGAGAGATAGAGAGTTAGAAACATCGATCAGCTGCCTCCCGCACATCCCCCACTGGGAACGTGCCCGCAACCCAGGCACATGCCCCTGACCGGAATCGAACCCGGGACCTCTCAGTCCGCAGGCCGACGCTCTATCCACTGAGCCAAACCGGTCTTGGCTTGGAAAACAGTTTATCACCATGTAGCAAAGTAGGAAAAAGTAACAAGATTTTTATCTAGGGGCAAATTCACACACAGAAGACAAATTGGGGGGGGGGGGGCAAATAATTACCCCAAATGCCAAGGCATCTCTACCTTTATGGAAAGTAGAAAAAATGTGATCAAGAAAATTGTGTGAAGGACTTAAACTCTGGCAAGGATCTATATAGTGAAGGAAGGCTGTTTTTCTTTCTACTTTATTTTCTTTTTAAAATTTTCTTAACATTTTCTTTCTCTAGGTTATTTTGTAAGAGTACAGTATATAATATATACAACAAACAAATATGTGCTAATCAACTGTTTATGTTATTGGTAAAGCTTGGAAAGTTTGTTTTTAAACCATTCTGATTTTATTGTTTTACAAACAGTGTGTTGCATACATGTTCAAGCACAGTGCACGCACGCATACACACACACACACAGTGGCTTTCAAAAGGTTCTGTCTACAAAAACAGCCTGACCCCAAACCCCAGCCTTAACACACTGGGGTCCACAGAACCTAAGCATCTTTCTGGATATCTGGCTCCTCCTTACCTGGGAGAGCACCTTCCACGACAGACCCCTCAAAGACCGCCTGGGTGAACTCCGGCCTGTTGTCATTCTGATCTCTCACTGTGATCACAATCTCCATCGGATCCTCAACTGCATTCCCGTTGGAAGACACAGCGTGAGACAAGAGCTGCAAGAGCCAAGGGAGGGTTACTTGGGCCCCAAGGAGAAAAGAAGTGGGAGAAGTGGCCCGACCACAGAGTGGGCTCCACATGGTGTCCCCTCCTTCCCACTCTCTGAGCCCCGAGTGCATGGACACCTGCAGCAGAGCCCTTTTCTCACACACGTGCCGCTGCTCCAATGAGGTCAGCACACTGGCTGAGAGCAGGACATGTGAAGACCTGAGGGTCGGAGAACACACCCACCAGGTCAGAGCTCCCATTGCCCACATGACGGCTGGGGATCCAGGCCCAGCAGATAAAGGGGGAAGCCTAACACTCTGACTTCTTCCAAGCAGGGTAAAATTAGCCTGGACACTCCAGTCTAGTGGCATCAACACATTTGGCATCTATGTGTTACTTCTCAGATTCACTCTGCTCACTCTGCTATCAGGCCCAGAAATAACTCTGGACATATGAGGAGCTTGGTTTTTGCTCCCCAACATCATCACTGGCCTCTTCCTTTGAATGAGGGACTTTTAGCTCCAAGAATTGGTTGATGTCTTGGGTCCAAAGTTATGCGTAATGCATAAGGACTCTCCCCGCTTTATTCCTAACAACAAAAATAATTCAGTGACCCCCATATCCAGGTTCTCCCGTCATTTATGTTTATCAATAGGTCTCAAAGTGGCAAGTTAAGCCCCCTCATACATCCAGAGTCTCGAATCTAGGGATCCAAATCGGTTGACCAAACACTTTGGGAAAGATGGGACCCCATCATTAATAAGCTTCTAAGAGATACTCACTGTGTACTTGGCAATTGCTTCTCTATCCAGAGGCTGCGTCACCTTGAGCCATCCTGTCTCCCTTTCAATAATAAACACACCGACGGGGGGTGCGTCAGCTCCTTGGCCAGTGATGCTGTAGAAAACCTGTGTCTCTTTGTCTCTATTAGACTTGATCTGGAGACAAAACAGACACAGAATTAGCAAGGGAGGGTCCTTACATTCGGTCTTTCTCCTTCCTCTCCTTGGTGCTTCTCTGCCAAATTCCTCCCAAGAAAATAGAGAACATCCTTTTCTACCTGGACCAGATTCTTAGGAAATGGCCCTTTGTCATTTTCTGTGCAGCTGATTGGAGGAATAACCCAGTCTCTTTTCTGTCTTCTGAGACCACGGTGGCAGACAGGAAATGTGGGCACTGCCGTCTGGGTTTCAGGTAGAGAGTCCTAAAAAGAAAAGAGATAAAAAAAACATAATGAGTGAATTAAAAGGCATCCAAATTGGAAAATAAGGAGTAAACTTATAATTAATCGCAGATGACATGATATTGTACATAGAACACCCTAAAGATCCCATCAAAAAACTACTAGACTTATTAAATGAATTCTGCAATGTAGCCGGATACAAAATTAACACCCAGAAATCCATAGCTTTTTTATGCACCAATAATGAACTCACAGAAAGAAAAATTTTAAAAAATCCCATTTACCATGGCAACAACAATATTAAGATACCTAGGAATAAACTTAACCAAGTTATTTTCTATATTTTAAGCCTACAATGTCACACTTGTCACATTTTTAAAATTTTATTTTTCCATTCCAGCTTACAGTCAATATTACTTTGTACTAGAGGCCCCATGCACGAAATTCGTGCAAGAGTAGGGGC